TTCAAAACAACTGCAAGGGTGTTTCCAAAACTCCATCTTACACGTGAGCACACAACTACAAACATACACTAAAGGAAACATAGGTGAAGGAAATGTTTACAACAAGTCCTCCACATAAAACAGCAGAACACGCTGTTTGTAGCTGCCCTTTAGAACGACCCACAGAAGCCTTTTCTGATCTGACGCCTTTCACAGCACGACAATATTATTTGTTTTTTTATTATGTGACAGCGTCATGTTTACAATTCGGTTTTGTTTAGAAACAAAAACTATTTGGTCGGTTCAGCAGCAAAGAAAACTTACTTATACTGGCCCCTCCTGTCTGCACTGGCCTCCTCAACCAGGGCTCGTGTGTCCAAGTCTCATCCTGGGACAAAGACTGCTGAGCACTAGCATTGTTGGTTCACTACGTTGGTGCTTTTGTCTCACGTTCCCCATGTTTTCATTGCTTTGGTGTTCAGTTTCGCTCTTGCTGTCAATGTTTTTCCCTCTGACTTTCACATCACCAAAGCCCCAGTGGCCTAATGGATAAGGCACTGGCCTCCTAAGCCAGGGATTGTGGGTTCGAGTCCCATCTGGGGTGATTTACAGCAGAGTGGCGCAGCGGAAGCGTGCTGGGCCCATAACCCAGAGGTCGATGGATCGAAACCATCCTCTGCTAACAGTTTTATCCAGAGCTGGCTGTTCGGTGGCCACTTGATATCCTCCATTGTTCATGTGTGTGTCACGTTGAAGAAGATGATATCATGAAAGCTTTGTGCACCATCACTATAGTAACAACGCTGCATTCAGGGGGGACAATCTGCAGAGGAAAAACAAGTACCTGGTACAAAAAGCGAGCTGAGACATCTACTTTATTATTTCAGTTTAACATGGATTTGTCCCACATGGTATCAACTATTTTTCATCTGTTAAAGCAGCAACAGAAAGTGAACCCAAATACTTTCTGTGTGTAATTTACACAAATACACACAGAAAGAAAAACTACTGTAGATGTGAGTGAAACAGGAACCAGTAATGTTTGGTACCTGCTGTTTCTTTTGAACGCAGGTGATTGATTACCTCTGTGTCTTCTGTAACTGAGCTCCCTCAAAACATTCTGCAAAACTTAATCACTGTAAAAGTTTCACTCACACACGCGCGCGCGCGCACGCACGCACGCACGCACACACGCACACACAGCCAGGTGGTATCCACAGCTTTGCTGCTATGAGGGCCCCGCAGACCGTCAAGGTTTTATGGGATTTGTAGTGTTTCTGTGTGGCGGAGCGTGGCATAAACACAACGCTGACAGCATTCTTAACCTGATGGGTTAATCTCCTGTATATGGGTTTGTGGTTTAGAGTGAGTGTGGGTGTGGGTGTGTGTGTGTGTGTGTTCTGCTGAAGAGAGTTCACAAACAAATTTGTATGCAGCCTTATCAGTTGTGTAATATGTGGCCACAGGCACGCTGGCTAGAAATGTTTATGCTCCTGACAAGTCAGAACTGTCTTGTGTACACAGACAGGCTGAAGCTCGAGGTGTGGGTAACAGCTCAACTATGTGTGTGTGTGTGCGTGTGTGTGTGTGTGTGTGTACATTCAAATGTTTCTTATTTTGCATGTGTGTCTGTGCAAGGGTTTGACCATGTGAAAGAAAGATTTACTGTATGAGTTCATGTACATATGTTCACACAGAAGTAACTGTGTGTGTGTGTGTGTGTGTGTGTGTGTGTGTGTGTGTGTGTGTGTGTGTGTGTGTGTCATCTGTTTACAAAAACAGTGATAAGAAACCAGTTCTGTCACCACAGAGCTCTCTCTGTCTCTGTGTGCCCTTTCTGCATGTGTCAAACCTGAAGCCACAGCGGTCATCTGGGACGACTGTTTGTTTGTTTGTTTGTTTGCGCAATATCAAGAAGAAGATAAAAGGTCAGATAAAAGGTGCAGGTAGAGTCAAAAAGCTAAAAGGCTGATCGCGTGTCTCCCTTAAAACCAACTTCATACTTCAGAAGCAAAAATCTACAGTCAACATTCATGTGTTCATCTGTGCAAACCAGAATATACAATATTATTTAGAACAGGAAGGTGCTAAATGTTGACAATTAAAATTGTCATAAAATATTACTTAGGGTTTTGTTTTAATGTGATTTCATGAGATGAGAATTTCAGAATCAAATCGTCGATCTCTGGAAAAGTCTGTATCGGTTCACTGTGTTATTGCTCGTGTTTCATCGTCCCCGTGCTTTTGCTTTATATGTTGATAGAAGTGGTCAGGCAGCAGCACATGAAGCCCCAGTGGCCTAATGGATAAGGCACTGGCCTCCTAAGCCAGGGATTGTGGGTTCGAGTCCCATCTGGGGTGATTTACAGCAGAGTGGCGCAGCGGAAGCGCGCTGGGCCCATAACCCAGAGGTCGATGGATCGAAACCATCCTCTGCTAACAGTTTTACAGCATGGTTACCTGAAGTACAACCTGTTTGTGCAAACCATCTCAGACTGTACTCAAAGCTACTTTGGGTTTA